GGGGGGAAGAGGAAGCCTGAGAAATTTGATTCTCATTTGTCTTTGATAATTCATCTTCTGGCTTTGCTCACTTCTAGTGGAATATTCTTCCCTCCCGCTCAGGAAAAACAGGGGTCAGGCCACACTCTTCCATAGTGAAAAAGACAAATCTTAGATTTCTCTAAAAGAAAAGAGAATCCGTCTTACATCTAAATAGGAAGATACGTGCTTTGGTCGCATTTTAGTTAAAGTAGATTAACCAAAAGGTAGGAAAGGGTGACAAGTGGACAAGTTTGTAGCAGGTGAGTTTGTGCATGCTCCTGCCTCTTCACCTTTCTTGCTTTGAACAAATTTGGATAGCCTGGCTCACAGGATTACACAAACCCAAGGTCTTTCCCTCCATGCTTCCCGCTGTCTGTGATACTTGGTTTCTGCATGGTATTTTATTGTACAAACTTACCCAGGCCTCGCTCAGCTAGGTCAAAAGTGTACTTTCCATGGAGTTTTGGTAAAGCTAAACATCTGTACTTTTGTGAATAATTCTGTTTGGGATGTAGAATGTATCTTTGTTACAAATTACACTGTGATTCTCTATCTGATTTAACTGAAAATATTTTTCTCAAAATGGCACTGAGTTACAATTTTGAAAGGAAAGATACCAAACAGTGTCTTTTTTATCACTTTTTAATATCATGTATCATGTATGACTGAGCGCTTAATTTGTACTATTTACACATAGGGAAGACAAGAGTCACTTGTTCTTAAGTTACCTACTAGCTTTAAATATTGATAAAGGGAAAGAACAGCTTCCACTGCCCTGCAAATCTGTGTCTCTTCCTTCTGTTGCCATCAGATGCACAGCTTGCTTGAGCGTGGTAAAAGGGAGGATGCTTTTAAGGATGCTTTAAAAAGAGAGACTCGGCTGGTTTTCATGCTATGTCTTGGTTATCTCCTGGCGTTTCTGATGAGCTAGGTAAGTCTCACAGCCCGTACGGTTACAGGTCACTTCACAGAGCCAAGTACCGGCATTTTATGGCCTTTTAATGAGCCGTTAAACTGGAGAAGAGGTAATTAAATATGGAACTCGGTACAATGTACACAGCACTGACTCCAGCTCTCTGATTCTAGGTTCCTCAGAAGACGATGAGGTCATTCAAGAAGGTCTCCTCAGGCTCAGGTCAGTCCTTTCTGTGGCATCTTACATGGCTCGTTTTGTATCTGTGAAACTGCAGTTTTGTAGTACTTCTGTCCCAACTGCCTCAGTTCATTTACTTTTCTGAAAGAATCATTGGTTTCATCCACAAGCTTCAGAGTTCTTGCTTGACGTACTTTGAATACGACAAGTAAACCATTCTATAGAGGAAGTTGATTTGGCGTAGCATACCTTTGGGTACCTGCTGTAAAGTATGAGCCCAGATGCTCAGGAGCTGCCACAAAGGCGCGCTTCCCAAAGGCTCTGCTCAGTCGCTAAGATCCCAACTCGGCGAACTACTTCCATGGCGCCTTCGAATCGCTGCGGCGGTGGGACGCTGCCTTCTCCCGCCCCCACGGGCTCTCTCCCGGGCGCCCGCCCGCTTGCCGCGGAGCATGCGCGGAGCGGGAGGCGCGGAGCTCCCGCGGAGGGGAGCTGTGCCGCTGAGGGGCGGTGGCTGCGCGCTCTCGGCCCGGCTGAGTCTCGTAAGCCGGGTGGGATGGGTTCCCACCTGTGTGCGCGCCGAGGCAGGCGGGAACTGCGTGGAACGGCGCTCCGGAGCTGAGGGATGCGTGCTCGGCGTCGGCGGACGCCCCCGGTCGCCCCCATTAGGGACACGGGCTGCCGCGCGGACGGCTCCCGGAGGGCGCTGCTGTCTGCCTGGCGCTGGCGAGCGTTGCCTCCGCGCCTCCCGCCTCGGGACAGCCGGAGCGCAGCGGAGCTCGTTTAATTCGTTTCATGGTTAGAAAAGTTTCTCGGGGGCCGTTCGTTAAACGCCACCTTCCCGCCTCTGAGGGGAGCCGCTTTTTCTGGGGGCGTCGAATGGAGGATGGAAAGCGGCGCTCCGCGTGGGGGTGCGGCGGGGCACAGCCGCCACCTCAGACGCCCTCCGGGGGTGTTGGCGACGGAAAGCGGGTCCCGGAGCCGTGGAGCCGCTGCCGACAGCGGAGCGCGGCGGGCGGCGCAGAGCCTGCCCTCGGGCCGAGCGCTGCGCGGCGGCTGTACGCGGCGGAAAGGAGGGAGCGGCTTCGGGCGCCTAGGTGAGGCGTTTTGGCGGGAAGAGCCGCTGCCTCGGGAGCTCCACCGCCATCACGTCGAGTCCCGCGGGTGGGTCGGGAGCCGGGCCGCGGGGCCACCTGAAACTGGCCCGGCGGGCAGCCTTCCGTCTTTGATCTCTTTAATGGATCTTCCGGGGCTGAGCGAGACCCGGGCCCGGGGTCCCCGCCCTCGGAGGCTCTGCCCTCTACACGCTGCCGTTCCCCAGCTCTCCGGGGCAGGGGGCGCTGCCCGGCGTAGGGCAGGAGGGCGGCCCCGCCGACCCCGGCGGGGAGGGGCTTCCCCCTCTCTGAGAGGAGGGCGGCTCGGATGCAGCGAGGCTGTAGCTGTGGCTCCGCTTCACGTGCAAGCCCGGGGTTGGTTCGGAGGCACGAGGAGTGCTGCCGGGTTTGTGTCGCTTTTGCCTTCATTGTCGATGTAGTTCTGTGTGGGTTTTCGGGGGGGGAGAGAGGGGGGGTGGCCTTTTTTTTTTTTTTTCTTTTTTTAAGGATAGAAGTAATCGGAGTTAGGACTTTAAAAGTTTTAGGAGTGTGGCGATTAAACTATCGCCGCTGGTTATGTAGTTTCAAGTGGGCTCGCAGTGCGTTTATGCAGACAACGATCCGCTTCCTGTAGTTGTCTTTATCCAAATTAGCATCTCTGTAGCGAAACGAGAGGACAGAAACACCTCTGTGCCTGCGGGCTGCTGCCATTCAGCTAACTTCGCCCTGACCCGCTCTATGGGCTTCTTCCCGTTTATTCCCTGGGCTGCCCGCCCCCTCCAAGGGGAAAAATTAGGGCTGATTCTCAGCGAATGGGTTCTGTGAGGGCATCGCTGGGCGGTGCTCCGCTGTTCTTTCTTCATTCTTTTCTTTTTTTATTCTCTTTCTGTTTTCTCCCTCCCTCTCTCTCCGCAGCCCCCCGGCTGCCACAGCTCTCTCTCAGCACTTGAAAGGCCGATGTCCCCGCAGGAAATGAGTGAGCCGATAACATCTGACACCGCCGCCCGGTCCGGTGACCCCGACCTTAATTCCACTAATACTGGAGGCCTGAAAATCGCAGGAAAGTCTCCTTGCACGTACGCTCTCCCGTTTCACAAAACCTGCATTTATTTTGCAGCGTAAAAACATCACAACAAATATAAGTGCGGTTACCAATCCCTCGTTTTTATTAATCGAAAAAACATCACATAATTAATTTTATTTTAAATGGAAGGTACTGAGCAGGGACGTTTTGGAACCATTTGATGGGCTTGAGCAGCTTTTGTGCCTGTTCATCCCACACGCTCCCATCCGAGGGGTCTTCATTGCCATGCATATGGAGTGTTTTTTGAAAGAGGGGCAGAGGGAGCTCCTAATTTTGGGTCGTTCTGCTGCTCTGGGAGTGGTCTCAGACACTTCCAGCCGGTGTTGTGAGCATTTTTCCCGCAGGTGACCTGAATTTCTCCTCCATGGCTGAGGTTTCACGCACGTTAACATCTCCTATATTTGTTACATATTACAAATCGTCACGGCCATAAGATCCAACCATATAAAATTACAGAGATTTAATATGGTAAAATAATCGCTGTCGCACGGAGGGAGGAGGCTAAGAGCAGGGAGGAGCGGTGCTTGGAGCAGCTCGGCGCAGGAAGCCGACCGCAGAAGTAACCTCTGGGAAATGTTCGGCTGGAGGCTGCGGAGGAATTCAGGGCTGCAGCCCGCTCACCGCTGCCGGCTCGGCGGGGGCACCGAGGGGTGCGGACGGGTGATGGGAGAGGAGCGGAGCCCGAGGGGTGGGCGGCGTAGAAAGGGCGCGTGACGTGGTGACACGCGGGTAGGCGGCGAGAGAAAGCAAAATCTCTTTTCGTACCTCCATGTCTACCTTTACTACGGAGGAGATGAGAGTGATGGGGAGCGGCGCGGCGCGCTCTTTCTGCGCGTTGAAGCCCGGCCGCGGGCAGCGCACGGTGCGCCCACCTGCGCGGAAGCACGGTGCCGCGCCCGCCCGCCTGCAGCGGGAATTTAGCGCAGCGGCGCCGGTCCGCGCTGTCTGTTCTCTCTTTGTCTTCCTTCTCTCGCTTTTTTTTTTTTTTTTTTTTTTTTTTTTCTTTTCTTTCTGCCTTCCTCTCCAGCAAATCCTTTGCCGTTCCCCCTCCTCTTTTTCCCCCCTCCCCACCGCGCTCCTGGGGAACAATCGCCGCCGCCCGAGGTTCGCTCTCCCACCAGCCCTGAAAACCGGGCTCCTATTTAGGAAGTCATTAATCACATCCCCTCCCCCGGAAAGAGATGGCGGAGAAACCTGTGAAGCCCAATGCCTCCCCCCATCCCCCTCGAGGAGCGCTCCGAAGGGCCGAGCCCGGCGCTCCTCAGGTGCCGCCCGGCCCCGCAGCTGCCGCCCGTGTGCTCCGGCCGTGTGCACGTGTAGCACCGCGGGTTCCCGCACGGCACCGCGCGGCTGAGCTGCCGAGAAAAAAAAAAAGAAAAAAAAAGGAATGAAAAAAAAAAAGCCGCGTTGGAAATGCCGTGTTCATTCATAAATTATTTCGGTGTGTCAGGCGCGTAGAGAAGGCGATTGGCTGCTGCAGCTTCTCCCAACCCCTTCAGGACCCGATGCGAAATTAGTAGCGAGAAAGCATGTAATTGGCAAAGTCACGTGTGCGCGGGGGGCCAGAGACCGAGCGCCAGAGAAAGGGAAAAAGCAAAAGGGGGAAAGCACGTTGGACCATGCGAGCGAAATTGGGGCTCGTGCAGACGCAGGATGTTGGGTTAAAGCAGAAGAGCACTTCGATCCAAAGGGAAAGTTTTCATCTCACGAGTTTGGAGCAGAGGGCCCGTGGGGCAACATGGCCGAAGGTTAATTTTCTTTTTCTATTGTTTTACTCCGGTTTCGTTCGCTCGCTCCCCCCGCCCTCCCTTACCCCCCCGCCCCGCATTCCCCTGTTAGCGGCCCGCGCACGGGGGCCGCCGCGGTCTCATTGTTCCGGACCGCCGCGGACCGCCCCCTCCCATTCAGCCCCGAGCGGCTCCCGGGGGCCATTGTCCGCCGGCTCCGTCCGCCCGGGCCCCGTCCCGGCGGCGGGATGAGAGCGCGCCCCTACACCTGTCCCGGCCGCCGCCCGGAGCGCGTTCCGTGGAGCGATGGGCACACGCTGGGGAGCGGCGGTGGCCGCGCCGCACGTGCCGTAGCCGGCAGTACAGCCCCCCCCGTCCGCCCGCGCCGCGCCAGGAGGGACTGATTGGGCCGGGAGCCGCGCTCGGGAAATGGGATCGGTCTTAAAGCAGCAACACCCAAGTAACGTCCGAGGGCCGGGATGGGGCCGCGGATGGAGCGGTGGTGGCGAGAGGGGTCGGGCCGAGGCTGAGCTGAGCCGAGCCGAGGCCTCCGGTGGACGCGTTTTGAGAGCTGACTGCCTGCTTCCTTACTCAGCAGCAAACGGGCTTCTGCCGCAGCTTGCTCTCACTGCGTTTCGTTCGCGTTTCTTTCTTTTTTTCCTTCTTTCTTCTTTAGTAACTAATTTACGCGTTGGCCAAAGGATGTTCCCAGAATTTAACTCCTCTTTGCATCTTTCTCCTTCTCTCTTCCCCTGCCCCCTCTCCCTCAGCAGGGGCGAGTAAAGGCGGTGAGGAGCCCGTGCGGCTGCCGGAGCACGAGGAGGAGGAGGAATCCCCGCTTTGGCACGGAGCCGGCCACTGCAAATGGTTCAATGTGAGGATGGGATTCGGGTTCATCTCCATGAGCAGCCGAGAGGGAAGCCCCTTGGAGTCCCCGGTTGATGTCTTTGTGCACCAAGTAAGAGCCTTTTCTGTCTTTTCTCCTCTTTGGTTGGGTGCAGCAGGGCTGTGGGCTCACACGTAGGCAAGTAACGTGGCTCCCTCGGTATTTGGGAGCATCCGTAATTACAGAGTTGCCTTGGGTAAGTTCAATGGACAGCGTGCTGCTGGGATAAATGGCTTGTTGGCTTGTGCTCTGCAGCTGGAGATGGTTTTCCTTGGAAGTGCTTAAAAGCAGACTCCCGAAAGAAGAAATAAATACACTTTTCGTTTAGGTAACATTTGAATGCGTTTTAAAACACTGATTGTAAACCTCGAATTGCTTTTTAAAAGCGCATTTGAGATCAGTCAGTGAAATTAAGACATCGTTACAGTGTTGTTTTGCAGTAATTCAGGCCTGAGAGTGTCCCAGTGGTGCTACACTGGAACGTGGGGTTGCTTTGGCTGAGTTTTAAATACTCCCTTCCAGAAAAAAAAAAAACCCCAAACCAACTACTGCAGTGATGACAAAGTGAACCAAAAGCTTTCTAAGGCTTTGGGGAAGAGGCCTGTGGCTACTGGTTTGTTTCTAAGCACATCAGTGTGAGTGTGGGCACTTATGGCAGGGTGCCTTTGGATGGAGGCTGTCCACAAAGCTGTGACCCCAGAGGAGCTTTTCCCACGTTCAGTGGTTTGTGGGAAAGGTGCATGCAGGTTTTCCTGGGTCTCGAGTGCTCAGAGCCCATATGAGATGGGCATGGGACCGTTCAAGGTTAGCCAGGGGCATGCCAAGGAGGCAGAAAGGCCCCTTAACTTTTGGCATGGTTGTCCATTTTCTATGACATTTGTATTGAAGGAGAGAGGGTTGGTTCATGAGGGCACAGCAGTTCCATTTCTCTATTCTGTTTGGTGTCTGTTTGTGCTGTCTTTCACCAGGCTTTCTCAAGGAATATGTTTAAGGGTGACTCAAATTTGCAGGCAGTGCTGCTGTGGCATGTTGTGTTCTTTGTGACCTCACAGTGTTACGCATACCCTGTGCTTAAGCTCTTGGCAATCAGTATCAGCTGTTTGCACTTGGAATTATGGGCCAAGCGTGGAATTAAATAGTGAATTTATTACATCGTTGCAGTTCTGACTTTGTACTGGCATATAAATGCCTTCTCACTTAGCTACTGCTATTTTGCTTTTTTCTGTTGTTGTTTAAACTGAATTAACAATATACTTAAATAAGAGCATTCTTCCTGCTTTCCCCCACCATCTTCCCTTCTTCCCACGTTTTTAAGTAACAGCATTTGTCTTTGCAATTCCATAAATTTACTTCATAGATAAATGAAGGGGATTTTTTGTGTTTTAATTTTTTTTTTGCTACATGTTATTGAACAGCAGCAATATTAATAAAAAGATACATTTGGAAACAGTGATATTCTTAGAGCTGTGAAAATGCAGAAGAGTTGATAACATGATGCAATTGAGTAATGCTGGGCATGGTGTACTGTCTTACAATGTACAGTAGCTGTAGAAAATAATAAAAAATTAAAAAAAAAAAAAACAAGCATGGTGAATGTGGAGTTCTCTGTTCTGTTGTTTCCTCTCCCTGAAAGGATGCAGTTTTCTAGAGGCAGGATATATTAAAAGTATTTGTTGACACTTCAGCAACTTACAGTTTATCAATATTCTCAGGTTGTAATGCCAAATGCAATGAAAAATGGCTTCTTTCACTGTGCATAGGCTGTGTGCCTCAGTCCTTTTGAGCATTCCTCAGAGATACGCCTCAGGGAATTTATTAACGTTCTGCAAGGGATTGCTCTCTGAACAAAGATACGTTCCTCACTTTTTTTTTTTCTTTCTGTCAAAACCTGCAGTGTGCATGAACTTCATATTTACATTATCTTCCTTCCATCAGTTAAAAGTAGATGTTTTTTTTTCTAGTTAAAGAGATGCAGAGAAGCAGCATCTACTTTGGTTCAGAATACAATTTAGATAATTTGTATTGGTGTACGGATTGCCGTGTGTTAGCTGCTGCCTGACCGATGGTGCCAGTAGCAGCCGGCGCATAAAAATGTCTCTGAAAAATCAGTGAAGTTATTTTACAGTGCGGCTTTTACAGCAGAGTGGGTTGCTTGATAGGACCCTATTCTTACTAGCTTCATTCATTTGAAAAATTTGCTCATGTGAACTGTTCCTTTCAAGGCAAAGATGTGAGTTTATTAATCTGTTGAAGCAAAATATTGCTGTTAGAAACTGCTTTGAAAACAGTTCATCATTTAAGCATGCATGCTGTTCTGTGTGCATTCACCCTTCTGCAATGTTTCTAGCTACTACAATAATTTTACAGAATCCGTTTAAGTAGAGGAAAGAAGCCTCTACCTTGCTACAAGTCAGATTAAAGCTAGCTTGAAACCTGCAGCAATGTTTTCATTGCTTCATCTTTACCTTTTCTTGGTAAGATTATGTTCAGCTTATGAGATCTTGCTGTGAGCAAAAACTGCTTGGATGTTGAGTCAAAATTCTTGTAATAGTTTAAGCTCATTATGCCCAGTTTTTTGAGCTTGCAATGAATGATTTTTCTTTCTTCATGGAGTTAAGCCTTGGTTGTGTGCAGATTGCAGTCGTGTTTTTGTAGCGTCAGTGCTTCACTAATTACACAATTATATTGATAACTATTTTTAGCAGACAAGGCTTGTGTTGAAACCCCCTCTTCTTTTTCACTCAGTGAAAATTCTGGTCGTAGAACAGCTGCAGCACTGGGTTTTTAACTCTACCTTCTAAGTCCTTCCTACAGCACTGATCATTGTGATTGATTTTCTCCAAACTACCTTTAGGTGGTTGTTACCATTCGGGTAATGAGGTACCTGCAGTTAGATGCGTTGTTTCGGGCAGAAACATGTCAGTGATTATATATGGGCGTCTGCGTGTTTGTGCAATGTATATAAGGCATGTCTACAAACATTTACTCTCCTGCTCCCCCTCCTCCCTCTCTTTTTAAAATAGCTTTATTCTGATGGTTTATATTTTGTCATGCGTTAAGGTTATTCAGTGTGGTATAAAAGTACTTTTAAGACAAGCCAATGACAGTGTGCACCTCACTGAATTTTGTTTGGAGTTTGTCATTTTGGACTTTTAATAGGTTAGCATGGAGTGAATAATATAGCTCACTTCTCTTTTGTGATGGGATTCTGCACAGAGTCGTGTGAACAGCTCTTGCTAAATTTTAGATGATTTCTTTGTCAAGGGGTGAAACAGACTGGAGGGGGGAAGTGAGCGCAAACCTTCTGTTATGCACATGCAAAAAGTCTTCACTGCTCAGAACTAAGAAGAATTTAAGCTTTGATAGAGGAAAGATGTTCAATTGCATGTTCAAAATTGTACAAGCAACTTCAGTAAGTGTAACTTGCTGAATTCTGGCAGCACAGTGTAAATGCTGTGGATGTTTTCTAAGCGTGTTTTGTATAGATTGTTAGAGAAATATATTTTTCTTTAAGCATGAAGCACGTATGTTAAAGATGATACTGAGGAGTAGGGTGCTGAATGTAAATAGATGGAATTAAATGTTTGTGAATTTCAAGGGTTGTAATTTCATGTTCTGAGAAATGTGTTTTCTCGAGATGGGGTGGGTTGATGAGTTTAGAACATGTTTTCTTGGACCTGACTATAGTCCAAATTCTTTCCACATTGAGAGTTTGATCTAGGATTTCTCAACTGGGACCTTAAACGTGATCCTTCTTTGGGATCCTCTTTTATGAGATGGGGAGAGGAAGGAAGGGAGGAGCAGCATGCAGGAGTCGATGTATTTTGTTTTCTCATTAAAAGAAACATGGCTGGTTTGAAATTTCTCACTTTCATCTGAACTTTCTTATGGCTGCTGCAAGTTACTGTTACTGCAAGATCTGATAACAATAGGAGACAACCTTTTTTTTTTTTTTCTTGCAGTGAGTCTTTCTTACAGTGTCTGAACTGCACTGTAGTTTGTAGGTTATAAGTTTTGTTCTTGTATGTTACTGTTGCAAGTACCTGTAACAAAAGAAAGAGGGAAAATTACTGAGCCTGTTCAACTAAGATGCATAAGCAGTGCCTAAAAACTCTTCCTTTAATTTGGCCAAATGTTCTTTTTGATGATGAATCAGACGCCTCATCTTTAAAGTCCTCATATTTTTTAGCCACAGTTTAACTTCTTCTTCTAAGATAAGGTTGAACGTGGCATAATGCATTTAGCACTGACTTTTTCAATTTCTATGACACATGATTTTGTGCTTTCACAAGAATGATTTCATTTATCCAGCGTATATTTTCCATTACCGCATCATCGTGGTAGGAGCCTGCAAAAGCTACTTAGTAGTTCAGAGTAACTGGAAGTTCTGGGCGAGCAAGAGGGATCAATATTACCTTGCTGCTTGTTGTTAAATGTGACATAGCAGTGCCCCCTTTGAAGTACGGAGGTTTCCATGCAGAGTCTTTTGTTCCAAACTTGACTTCTACCAGGGTCCAGGCAAGCCCAGTTCTAATCAAAACAAAAGTGACTAGCAGGATTCAGAGAGGGAAGCTGAGGAAGGAAGTGAATGCGGGGTAAACGTGTCTGCAGTGAGCACATGTATCAGAGATCTGGCAGAGATGAGACCTACTCTGAAGGTGTGTGTGTTCAGCAGACCCACCGCACGTAGAAGCTACGATGGGAGCTGGAGCCTCAGCTTTGGTGCCTCAGCAGGCGAGGCACAACACAGAAGACTGTTGAAGCATACAGAGAAAGTTAAATTACGTGGACTGTGTGTTTGTGGTGCACTGCAGCACAGCATTGTTTGGAATTTCTTTATTTATTTTGCTCTTCGACTGCTAATTAGTGCAGGTCCTATGCTTTGAGTCCTATCTATGGATGCATAGACAGATGGCAAAATACTTGACTAAGAGCTTGAAGATTTAAGACAGTTGACTGAGGAAACTTTTGGTATTGAAGTTATGGAATTGCCATCTGTGAAAATACCTTCCAGATTTCATCTATTTACATCTAAAACCAACGTTACAGTGCATTTTTATCTGCAGATATAT